TGATCTTTCCAGAATACAACATTAATTGATTTTTCTGTATTAAAACTTTCACTCTCTAATCTACTTTTTTTTCCCTTAAGACTAGCCCTCTACCACTTGAGTCACAGTGCTACTTCTGCCTTTTTCAGTTTATGTGGTACTAAGGAATTGAACCCAGGGCTTCATGTATGCTAGGCAAGCACTCTACCACTAAGCCACATTCCTAGCCCTCTAATTTACTCTTTAATTTTTCTTTCTTCTGCTTTCTTGGACAGAAGCATACCTTTTTCTCTTTTCTTAAGATGAAACTTAAGTAACTAGGATAGGTTACTATTTTAGCTTCATTCCATAAAGTTGATAGGCCATATTTTTACCTAAATTCAATTCAAAATTTTTTCCAAGAGCTACCTAGGAAAATATCTTCCTTGATTTATGTTATATAATTTTCAAATATGTGAGGACTTCCCTTATGTCTTCTGCTATTTGCTTATAATTTATTATCACTGAGCCAAAAATAACATGTTTTGAATGATTTCAATCCTTTGAAATTTATTGAGATGTGTTGTTTCTATGGTCAAGCACATCATCTCTCCTGGATAATGTTCCTGAGTGCCTGTGGCCATTGGGTGGAGTGAATCAAATCACCACCCAGTTGCAAATTCATCAATAAGGGGCACCAAGTGAGAAAATGAGACAAGGCTGTGCTCTGAAATGAACTCTGTTGGAAGTCTGATAAAAATAACAACAACAACAACAAAACCCCCAATATCTAGTAGTAACATCTCATGCTGCTTTTAACTTGCACTTCACAAATGAGTGAGCATATTTAGCATATATATATATATATATATATATATATATATATATCAGAGAGGGGGGAGAGGGAGAGAGAGAGAGAGAGAGCATCAAGATACTGTACAGAGAGGTTAGTTACATGAACAAGGTAATAAGTCCATTTCCTATCAAGCATTGTTACCCTCTCCTTTGTTTTTCCCCTACCATCCCTTTCCTCCTCACCGAGTGTCTTTTCTTTCTTTTTTTACAATTTTTTTATTGTGAAAATACCGTACAGAGGGGTTACAATTACATGGGCAAGGTAATGAGTACATTTCTTATCAAGCATTGTTGCCTCCTCCTTTGTTTCCCCTTCCCATTCCTTCCCATCCCTCACCACCCCCCCACGGCCAAAGTTGTAAAGTTCGTTTTTTGACATAACAATTTGTACATCTCATTGTTGCAATGGGTCCACCTGTATCCCTATTTAAACGGTTTGTTTTTGCCCTTCCCCTCCACAAATTATACCAACATTAAATACAATGAAAGCAGGGGTTATACCTTGGAGGAGGGTATCTTTTCTTGCTAAGTTCTTCTATTTTGTTTTTTGTTGTGGTGGTACTGGGGCTTGAACTTGGGGAGTTGTGTCCCTTAGCTTTTTCACTCAAGGCTACTGCTCTACTACTGGAACCACAGCTCCACTTCTGGCTTTTTAGGTTAATTGGAGATAAGAGTCTGATACTTGAGGCTTTTCTGCCAGTTTGGCTGTGAAACATGAGCCTCAGATCTCAGCCTCCTTTATTAGCCAGGATTACAGATGTGAGCCATCAGTGCCTATCATTACTTACTAGTTGAAGTATATAATCAATAAAGTATATGATCCTTGCCAAATTTAACAGAGTTCTTACATTATTATTTAATTATAACACTTCTTTTATATTTTCAATATAAATTTTGTGAAAAAGAGGTACTACAAATCTTGCCATCCTATCTCTGACTTTACTTGCTTCCTTTTTTTAATGGACTCTTTCAAAAAGCAAAGTTTTTTATTTTGGTAAAAAAACAATGTCTTCTCTGACATGTCAAGTTTCAGTAATATATTGAAAATTTATTTATGGTCTACTGAGTTTTATAACTGCTCAATAAGAGTAAACATTTAGTGTGTTGTTGCTAATCAGTAAAAAGCAGACAAATATCTGTATTGTATTTAGACATTCCATTTGCCTTGGTCTTGCCCCATCTGCTGTAGAGAAGAACATATTTCAATATCTCCATATTTACTTTGCCTGAATATAAGTAACATATTTTCATCTAGTTAATTTTACTAATCCTGTATTTGGCAGAACCAGAATAAACTGGCCTACACCAGTATGATACTTGAGCAGTGAGTTTGGTTCCAAGGAGCATCCATATGTGAAGGCTGATGTGCAAGTAGGTTGCAACCCAACCTAATAGCTATGCAAATGAACCTCAGTAGATCCCAGAGGTTAACCCAAACCAATCCCAAGCAGAAAGTTATCAAATTATGCCTAAACAAGGCAAATGCCAACGTGAACTCAACAGGTAATCTCTGTCATTCTCTGTCCTTCTGGTTATAACTCACCACATTGAAAGGTGGTAGAGGCAGGGCAGATTCAGAACCATCTTTAGTCTAATATTGCCTGGTTCTAGAACTTTTTTTATTCATGCTTAAATAAACATTAAAAGTTTAATTGGTTTGTTTCACTTTTGAAAGTTTACACATTTCAAGATGATTTTAACCTACAGTTCATATATTCATAAAAAAGAGACTTAGATACTTTGCTCTTCCAACCTATCTTTTTTCTGCAGTGCTAAGGATCAACCCAGGGCCTGGTATATGCTAGCCAAAGTGTCCTACCATTGTTTTGTTTGTTAATCATTTTTAGTGTAATCTAGGGATTTAGATTCAAGTTATTAAATCTGTATTTTATACTTGACATACTTTCTTTTTTCTGAAATGCATTAACATTCTACTTTAGAACTAGATTTTTAACATTTCTTATACTTCTTTCTACTTCATTAGTCCTGTGTTCTTGCCTTATCTTGGTATGTGCTGGTGGCCCTATGTCAGAGAAGTCTCGGCTCCAACTCTGGTAGTTGATGTGTTCAAACAAGTTCTTCCGGAAAAGAAATAAAGAATGCATACAAAAGTCTTTATACACAGTTACATACTTTACAGACATTGCAAATAGATATCATACCATCTCATATATAAAATGCCTTCCTGTTGATTTTACGGATCAAAACTCCTTGATTACATATAAAATTGAGTAACAACTTTGCTTTTACAACTGTGAAATATGCATTTATTTATTTGTTAGTACCATCTACCTAAAAGCTTGTAGGATATTTATTTTATTTGTGAGGTTCAATTCTTTTTCCTGGATCTATCCAGAGTTCATTGCATTGATTTACATGATATGTGCCTTCTTATAAAAGTGCTACTCTTCTCAACTGTTTTTCCTGAATTCTGTTGTGGCTTATTTTCATAAGTATTCTTTCATCCTGTGAGGGCTAAATGCAGAAGTCTATTCATCTGATTTTGTGTCCTTACCTATGAATTTTGTGTCCTGTTAATATTCCATCACAAGAAGCACAAGTTACTGATTCAAAATCAGGTGAATATCATAGTCAGCTTTTCTCAAGAAGATATTCTTTTGCCTTAATACTTTCAAGCATCTAATTTTTAACCTAAAATTCTGACAGTGTACTTTGAAATTCTTGCCTGGAGCTTTGACTTTCGATGTTTTCTCTGTTCCTTTAATTTTAAAGCTTTTCTAGAGCTTCCTATCAGCTCCATGGAATATCTGGACCAGCAAAACTTCCTACAGTCTGGGCCCTGATCATAGCAGGGGGCTGGACCTTACATCGACATTGCAAGGATGGAAAGCCTCTACTTTCCAGAGCAAACTTTCAGCAGGAATCCAGCTATTGCCTCAGGCAGTAAATAAAAAACAACAACAACAAAAAGAGATTTCAGACTAGACTTTTAGGGCCCAAATCCCAGTAACTCAGCATAAATGGAAATCAGAGCTGAGAAAACAAACATAGTTGTGAACTGTAAGCCCTGTAGGGCTCCATCAGCTTCACACATGAAATCTTAGCTACCTTGCTCCTGCTAATGTATGCTTGGGACTCCTAAGGAACATAACTATGGCTGAAAATGGAATCACAAATACTGCAACATTATTTCTAACCAGGAACATTTGAAAATAAACGTAGTTGAACAAGAGAGTTAATAGTCTATATTCATGATAACATATATTCAGCATTTAAAGGACTGTACTAAATCAACATAATTAGAAAACAGGTACACAGTCTTAAGTGTGAAAAAAGAAATAAGAATAATAAATGTAATTTTAAAAATAGAAGAACAATTATATGTGCCTATAACATATAACATATACTGTATATATATGCATATGCTATATTCATATAAAACTATGTTATTTGAACATTTTATTATTAAGTAATAAAATACTATATTTTATGTTTATGATTTATATGTAAAAGTATAAAATAATGCACCCAAAATTAGTTATGGTGGTTTCCTAAGAGGGAGGGAGGAAAAAATACCTTGAGTAAACATGAACAACAAGATGAACTAAAACTTCACTAGTAATGTTTAGTCTTCATAAACCAAATGTTAATTGTTGATTATTCACTATGCTTATCTAGGTATCTACAATTCCCTTTTTTTTTACAAATGCTTTATTTTCTCTCAAAACTAAAAGTTCTATAGACAGTCTCGGTCTTCCTGAATGGCCACTTGCAAATCTGCAACTGAATACTATTTAGGGAGTACAGCATGTAAGAATAAGGATATGGCCAACTTGAGCTCTTCTACAGCAAGAAGTAGGTGGTGGTGTCTTCCTTGAGATAACCCATTCATTCTTTATGTCATGATGCATTTTTCTCTGTGCTGCTGGGGATGGAATCCAGCTTGGGCAAGGCCCATCCTCTATCATTGAACAACTTCCCTACCCTGACAAAATGCATTCTTGTTCTTGCTGCCCCTTTAGAAGAGACCTTTATGTGACTGCTCTGATATTGCTTAAAGGATGAATCAAAGGGCAATATCTCTTCTTATTCTAAACCTTGAACTTAACTGTATATGGCTAATTTTGATAAAGCATTTTTAAAGTGAAATGTTTCCGTCTTACTGAGGTTGAGAATGTGCTCTCCTACTGAGTGACTTTCACAATGGCCACTATGGTTCTTCTTACCTGCTCTTTCATTTCGGCATAGACTTTCTCTGAGTTCAGCTCCACCTGCCGCTTAAACTCTTCCAGAGCAGCGTCTGCCTGCTGGGCCTGCAACCTCTGTACTTCAGTCACACGAGTGAGCTGCTCCTCTTTCTCCCTAGAAAGTCAGAAAAGCTTCAGAGTAGAAATAGAAAAGAACAAGGCTCAAATAAAAGAACAGTTAGCCTTCTTTAAAATAACATCCAGGCTTCCACTTTTTGATCCGCATCCTATAAAACTTCCTTGTAAAGAGCTGACAATAAAATAACTTGTTGCAGGCTATAAACATACAACACACACTCTGATGAAAGCATAGCTACTTTCAAACAAAACTGTAGAAGACCACGCATTTCTATTCACTGATGAGCAGATAAACAAAATGTGGTATATCCATACAATGGAGTTCTACTGAGAGTTAAAAATCAATAAAGTTCGGGCTGAGATGTAGCTCAGTGGCAAAGCGCTTGCCTAGCAAGTGCAATGTCCTGGGTTCGATCCCCAGTACCAAAAAAGAAAAGACAAAAAAAAATCAATAATGTTCTGATATATGCTCCAACCTGAATGAATCTTGAAAACATTAATGTAAGTCAATGAAGTCAGTCACAAAAGGTGGCATTCTGTATGGTTCCACTTATATGACACATCCAGAATAGGTAAATGTATAGAGACAGAAAGCAGATTTGTTACTACTACGGACCAGAAGATCTGTGGTCTGGAGAGTGGTTGCTAGTGGATATGACTTTCTTTTTTGTTGTTGTTGTTGGCCATGTGGCTTGAACTCAGGGCCTGGGCACTGTCTCTGAGCTCTTTGGCTACAGGCTAGTTCTCTACCACTTGGAGATACAGCCCAAAATGATAAGATAAAAAACATTTCCATTCCCTGGTGGTTAATTGGAAATGAGTCTTTTTTCTGCTGGCTTCCAACCACAATCATTAGATCTCAGCCTCTTGAGTAGCTAGGATTATAGGCATGAGCCACCAGCGCCTGGCACCCCACTATGAGTTTCTTTTTGAGTAAAGTGTATGATCCTGGAAATAGTGGTAACAGTTACAGATTCCTGAAAATATATTAAAATCCAGTGTTGTACATTTTAAAAAGGTAAATTTTATTTTCTGTAAACGATGTCTCAATTTTTAGAGAGCCAATGTATCAACAGAAAGATGAATGTCTGCCAACAGTTGCAAGGAGTCAGTAAAACATAGTGGTCTGAAATTATTCCACTGGCTTCTAGAAGACTTGCCTAAAAGGAACAGATAACTACTTCATCTCTTCATACTTCAAACAAATCATACAGTCATTGTAGGAACAAAATAAATCTCTGCATGTTGACAAGAGGAAAAAATAAAAGTTTTAGTTTATAAATGCACTCAACTTCCTAATAGCTAATTTTCAGTTCTCACTAGTTCCTACATATTGAAGCAAAACATTTTTATATATCTTATCTTACATTTCTTCACAGAAAACCTGTATAAGAATATTTTTAATCCACTTTTCACAGAACAGGTTTCTTTCACAGAACTGGAACTGAGCTTAGAGACATTCCCAAGGTGCTCTTCCTCCTCCTCCTCCCCCACCAGTGTCTGCTCCAGCAAGGCATCTGCTTCCACAGCTCCCCCTGTTGGCTCCCTGGCTGCACTGCTCTACTCAAATGCCTTCAAGAACATTAACTGGGCTCATTTCCCCACACAGGACAGGTTAACATATACAGAAAACATTACCTTATCACTAATTGCAAGAATGCTGGGAGATGGGTTCATTTAACTTACCTAAACCAAATTTTAGGTAAAAATCACAATGAAGGAAAAAGATATATATACACACACACACATACATATGTATATATATATATATATACATATGTATGTGTGTGTGTGTGTGTGTGTGTATATATATATATATTTGGGGGGGGGTCCAGTCGTGGGGCCTGAACTCTGGGCCTGGGCGCTGTCCCTCAGCTCTTCAGCTCAAGGCTAGCCCTCTACCACTTGAGCCACAGCACCACTTCCAGCGTTTTTCTTTTTGTTTATGTGGTGCTGAGGAATTGAACCCAGGGCCTCAGGCATACAAGGCAAGCACTCTACCACTGAGCCACCTTCCCAGCCCGGAAAAAAAATATTTTCAAATTATAAAATAATGCTATTGCATTTTTTATGGTGACATATGTTTTTAAATTTTATTTTCTTGTAAAGATGATGTACAGAGGGTTTACATTTACATCAATAAGGTAATAAGTACATTTCTTGTTGATCATTGTTACCCCCTCCTTTGTTTTTCTCCTACTATCCCTTCCCTCATCCCCCCCAATTATAACGTTCATTTCCAACATGGTGTGTCTTGTGAGTATCATTACTGCAATTGGTCATCCTGTGTCCTTATTTCAGCATTTTAAGAGATGAGCAAGAAGTAATTTGAAGGGCTGGAGGCTGGTGGCTCATGACTGTAATCCTAGCTACTCAGGAGACTGAGATCTGTTCAAAGCCAGCCTAGGCAGTAAAGTACATGAAACTCTTCTCTCCAATTAAATACCCAAAAAACTGGAAGTGGAGCTGTAGCTCAAAGTGGTAGAGTACTAGCCTCGATCAAAAGAGCTCAAGGATAGCACTCGGGCTCTGAGTTCAAGCCCCATGGCTAATTTTTTAAAAAGTAATGGAAGGGAATTATTCAGTTCTATGTCAAAAAGTCTCTCTAAGAAATGTAAGTACATGTATCTCCTACATATAAATATATACATAATATAATTTTCCAAGTAGAAAGATTTATTCTCTCTCCCAATTGAAAACATTTCTCAAAGTTTAAGTGGAAGACTGATACAAAACATTGTCACCTAGTTTCCATTTTAGCAGAACTGTCCTGTCTTTATAATACAGTGGTGTAGATAGAGGCTAATGATTTTTTCCACACCCCCATCACCATTGTCTCTGGGCATGGTGCATCTGCAAACAAACAGTCCTTTGGCATATCAGTGGAAAGAATGCACCAATGTTTAGTTATGTCTTCATATCCTTCCCCACATCTATTTACCTGAAGATGATGATAATCACTGCACCTCACGATGAAGAAAGCAATTTTCCGCAAAATTCCCTCTTCCTCTGTGCATCTGTTTTACAGGCTTACCTGCCATTTTTATGGCTTAATACTGCCCCATGGCTATGTGACTCCTTAGTTTTGAGGATTCTTCCAAAAGTATTTGGGAAGATTATCTCATAATTTGGATACATATTCATCAAACAAAAAAGCACACTGAATAGTATTTGAAAACTTAAAAACTTAAAAATATGTACCATTAATTAGCCAGAAGAAACTGTGTTAACAGATCTTGTAAAAATATGATCTATGGCTGAAATACTGTTTTCTCCCTTTTGCCACTTAGTTATTAATGTTGACTGCCATCCTTCATAGGAATTATTTAGTGTAAACATTTTCACTTTAATAGGACATACCTTTTTTTTTTTGTCAGTTATGGGGCTTGAACTCTGAGCCTGGACACTGTCGCTCAGCTCTTAAGCTCAAGGCTAGCACCCTACCACTTGAGCCACAGTGTCACTTCCAGTTTTCTGGTGGTTTTTGGAGATAAGAGTCTCATAGACTTTCCTGCCCCGGATGGCTTTAAACCCTGATCCTCAGATCTCAGCCTTCTTAGTAGCTAGGATTACAGATGTGAGCCACCAGTACCCAGCTCATATCTATTGTTTTACTTCATGTCATTCTTACCTATTAGTTCAATTACTTAGCCGCTAAGTTATAAGTACATAAATCCAAGTAATATCATCAATATATTTTAGAGACATTGTAAAATGTTAAAATGAGCCTTGTACAATAAAGGAAATTAATTTTAGCAGAAAATTTCTATCTTGCTTTAAAGATAATATTATTTTATATTAAGAGACAATCATGGGGAAATATGTAATTAGCATCCCATTCCAACACACTGAGCTCAGATCTCCCTCAATGTAAATCAAGTTTCCTATCCAGTAAATCTTGACAAATAGTAGCTCCATGAGTGTTTAGAATTTTTTGTCTAAATCTCTAAATTTAAATTAAAAGTGGTAATCATTTCAATAGAGTCTCTTAAATTTCAACAAGATGATGACATTGAAGTGAAAACTGAGAGCATTGAAAAAGTGATTTGTGCTTAGAGATGGCAATTACTAGTTCATGGCTGTTACTCTTTAATTTTTGAGGCCTTTTGAAAGAATATGTGAAGAATATTTAATAATCTGAATGAAAATTCATCAAAGGTTGACCTTTGGTTAGCCTACCTATATAAAAAGAAAATATATTGGACAATATCTGAAACTTTGAACTTAATATATAATATGATTTTAATATATCATCTGATCAAAAATTACATATTATTAACTATCCCAAAGAAAATCTGCAATCAGATCCAGGAAAAAAATGCATTACATATGGCTGAAATAAAATCTGTTTGCCTTGCAAGTCAGTTATTCATTTGTGTAGTGCAAATATTAACATGTGCAATTTAGTCACATGTAACAACTACTTGCTCCCTTCTACCAAGATATCGAACAATGCATCTTACAAGAAGGAAAATCACTGAAGATTTTTTTCCAGGGGAGCTAGTTTTAAGGCTGAGTATAAATGCATCATTTAAATGCCTTAAAGCTGGGCCTCCATGAAGGTAAAAAGGAAAGAAAAGGAAAGAAAATCTGCTTTTCACTTCTGATTTATTTATAAAACACAGCAATTTTTCCTCCTTTAAGTAATATAAAGGATAAAAGATAGAAAAATAAAAGAAACTACATTCTTACACAACCACAAACCATCTCAGATTAAAGATGTTCTGAAGTACATGATTATTCCAAAAAGGGCAATAAAATGTAGGGGACTAATGGACTAAAATTGAGTATTTCTTCAGCTTTACAAGCTAACATTTGCATGTGCAGGCCAACCCTAATTTGAAAATCTTTCTTTGGCACATTTCTGTAGCAGTACTTTTGATAATAATGGCTGTAGTCCAACATATATTTAAAGGGCTTTACTTTACAGTATATTTCAGTTGTTGCCAGATTGGCATCTCCACTGGAAACTCTAAGCAAAAACAAAACAAAACAAAAACTTTGAACAAGTCTGAAAAACAGAGAGAAGAGTCTCCA